TTAAATCTTAAACCCTAAATATTGAATTTTGAAAGAATCTAAAATCTAATACCTTAAATACTAAACCTTAAAAACCTTTAAATCTTAACACTTCAAGCACTGAATTCTAAAAAATCTAATCCTTATTTTTCCTAAAAATTAAATTATAAAAAAAATTTAAACCTAAACATTCTAAACACTTTTAAATTTAAATCCTAACATGCAAGCATCAAACTCTAAACTTTAAAAAATTTAGATGCTAAAATTATAATAATAAGAGATTAAAGGACTAAAATAATTTTAATCTACTTAATGTAGGTACCAACAAATAATTTAGTCATAAAAGAAATGGAGAAAATGGATGGACGGATGTTTGTCAAGTATTCTGGTCTTCAATTGGTTTGAGGGGGTTTGACGCGTTCAGCATTATTAAATCTATTAATATAGTAATAAATTATAAAAAAAATGTTTTTATTTTTAAAATTAAATTGATTAAATTTTTTTATACTTATCATTTACTCTTTTTATGAATTTATATATTTAAAAATATTCTAAAATATATTTATAATTCATTATTATTCTAAAATTTTATAATCAATAATAATTTAAAAAAAAATACAAGCAAATCACATGAAGAGTAGCTTGAGATCTAGTCTTTAAAAAAAAAAAAAGGAAAAAAATCCTTAGTCAATAGCCAAGGCCTTAAATATAAGCTTAATATCAACTAAAAGGTTAAAAAATTGTGATATCAAAGATCCTTTTTATGCATCCTTATATGAGACCAAGGTGCTAAGTGGATTTTGATTTGGACGGTTAAAAGTGAATGTCATGCCCAGAGTTTTAATTTCTATTGGTGCACATATTGTAGCATGCGTAATGGAGAGAGGAGTTGCATGAGCATGATGATCCATATCAAAATAGTATCCAGATTTCATAGTAGTTTAGATATATGTACCTCTAATACCTAAATGGAATGCCAGTACAAAATTTATGCAGGCATGGGAGTGACATTTTATAGTGAGTCGTGTGCTCAGGAATAAGTGGCTATTGTGATCTCCCCCCTCCCCTTTTCCCATTCTTTTTCTTTACAGTGGTAGGGACCATGAAAGGCTGTATCATGTATATAATTAAGTTGATTTGTTTTTCTTTGATGGTTAGGATGTCGAGACAAATTCTTTCTCAAGTGATCTTAAACGTACATTACCCATATTAGCTTGATATATTTAAGAAAATTAATTTTTTTTAGTGTACTAACCTCAAAGTTTAAATTATGAAGGTAGTCAACAAGATATTAAATTGTTAATTGTTGGTTTAGATATGGGAAATTTCAATTCAAATTTCATATTCTGTTAGATTTGGTAAACCCTCCACTGACATGGATAACCTTATTAGCTTTTAATAGAAATAGGAAATTCAAGTCTTCTATTGCTAGACTATGATTTTGTATTATTTAGGACATCAAAAAATGGAACGCATAAATCATCATTTGTGAGCCTTCAAGCATGCAGAATAATTAATAATGTGAGCAGCTCTTATTAAAGTTAGGAAGAAAAGATAAAATCAAGATGTTCTAATAATATCAAGATATTTAGTTATAATCATTAAATATATGTGGGTTATATCATAACTTGATTTTAATTGAGTATTTATTACTCAAAGCTTCAAATAAAGTTCATTTTCTATAAATTTGATTTTAAAGCTTTAATGAAAAAATGGAAAATTAATTGGGTAAAAGAAATAAAATAAACTGGACTTGGTTGCCTTGAGTCAAGAGACTCAAGACTTTGAAATTATGAATTGCAAGACCAAATTGATGATATAAGAAGATCAGGGATTGAGTTAATGTGTGAACAGAAGATGAGGATTTAACGAAAAATCCATGAAACGGCGTCGCTTAATCTTGGCTGAATAAAACAACCCTAACTTCTCAGAACTCATTCGTTCGGTTGTCTCCTAAAGTCTACTGCCTCTTCTCTCGATTCCCTCTTGATTTTATCTCAAATCCCACTTGAGTTTGGTTGAATCACGACATCAAATGGAGAGATTTTCGAAGCTAAGGTCAGCCAATCGAGGGAATTAGATAGGACCCATTGCAAGGAAGAAGAGTCTGAATTCGATTTGGAATGGAACTCTAATGCACAAAGGTATGAATTTAACCTTAAAAGAAGAAGTTATACAGATTTCTAGTTGGGTTTTTGGATTTCAATTCCGAATAGGATTAGATTTTATCTATAATTTGAGATTAGGATTTGAGATTAGTGTGAAGGGTTTGGGTTTCTTTTTCTTTCTAGTATAAAAGGGGGTCCGGCCAATGGAGAAAGGGAGAAAAAACTGAAAGGGGAAGAGAGAGTAGAGGGAAAAAATTAAGTTCAGAGAGAAAAGTCGATGAGAAACAGAGAGTGACAGAGCTTGTACAGAGCAATTATTTCTTTGGAATAAAATTTCAGATTTTTGTTTAACCGGTGAGTTCTCTTTGAATTATTAGTTTTTGTGTTTGGAAGAGGGCATGAAAGTTTGATATTTTCCTCACGGAAAATCACACTCAAGCCTATTTCTTCCTCTCATGATCTTCTTTTCTGTTCTAATATAATTTTCTTGTGAATCGTTTGGTATATTGCTATTTCATAGTTTTTTTTTTTTTCTTGTAAATAAAACCGTGACTAGACCATGAAGCAAATTTGGGAATTGCATTGTGATTTTTGAGTTCTAGGATTATTTTGTGAGATTATTATCATTCCGAGATTATTTTATTGGGTTGTTGAAACTATGTTAATATACGAGATTATTGGTTTTTGATGTATGAATGAGTATTAGGGAGTATATGGAATTTCATGGGATTTGATAGCTTGCAATAAAATTTGAAGTCTGAAGTAGTTTTGTCCTGGTGTTATATATTTTGGTTTTCAATGCTGTCCGAGATGAAATTTTCAACTTTGACAGTATAAACCTGGGGCGTTGAAATAAAGAATGAAACATGTTATAATGGTCGTGTTTAATTTTCTAGGATATTTATGGTTTGTTGTTTTGTGGGTTCGAAGGTTTGTTAAGGTATTATTTGGATGAATTTAGAGGGAAATAGACTGTAGGAGAAACGTAAAAAAATAAAAGCCTATACTTCATTAATAATATTTTTCTATGCTTCACTTGATCTGGTTGATGAATAAAGTGTTAATCCAAAATTGAAAAGCAGAATTTGTTCCTGTTTATCTGGCTCCTAATGTTTGTCTTGATATGGTAAAAATTGGACAATCATTAAGGAACATTTTTTTTAAGAAGATCATAAGAAATAATGGAAGAAACATATCTAGCTGATTACTCTTTCGTCTTTAATTATAGAAAAATAGCAAAATGCTCTTCTAATTAAAGTGGATTTTTTTGCTCCTTGTGTAAATAAATCAAAGGTACCCCAATTTTAAAATATGTAGTAACTATATTTTATATCCCACAATCAATGCAGACTTAGGTGATCCGTCAACAGGTCATGACTTTATTAAAGTTTATTCCGTTCGTCATTAGACTTTTTTGACATTTTTCTCATTTTCCCTGTGCCCAAAGTTTTGTTATGTATCCTAAATAGAGTTTGATTAAAAGTGTACTTCAGTAAAAATAAAGATTAAGATTTACTAACTACACAGTGGTATCCCTTAGTGCATGGTAAAGATATTCAGAAGTTCTTGAATACTTACATCTTGTCACGCAAACTGAGCGAAGTGCTGAGCCAAGTGCTGAGCGAAGTGCTGAGCAAAGTGCAGTACTCCGGGCTATTGTACTTGATCCAATCCCAATAATTCAGTTCAAAACCCATAAGCATTTGAAAGTAAATATCCGAAGCAGAGAGGCCTGAGATATTGGATAGCATGACCGGAAACTGAGCTTCAATTCTGCATGATTCATTGAAATCCGAAAGCTTTGCTTGGTTATTGAAAAGAAAAAAGTAGGTGTGCGGAGAGGAAGGGCTATTGGTGCAATTAGAGGCATCCACATGGAGTGGTGAGCTCATCGGCATATTGCAACTTAGAACATACATAATGCTATTCCCAGTTATATTCCTAGATGAAGGCCCATTCTGAGACGGCCAACATTGAAATTTAAGAAAAGGGTAGTAGGGAATGGAACATTTATTCCTATCGAGACTGGCATCCACCAGTCGAACTGTGTAATTATCATAAGAGATTTCCTCCACTAAGAAATTTTGGTATGCACCAAGTTTGAGAGGCAAAGTGGTGCGATTGTTCTCGCAAACTAGCTCATACTCCGGCGAACCACACCCCTTAGGATCACTGCGTAATCGGAAAGGGGAATCTATAGTGAGGTTACCACAGGCAGAAGGGACGCAATCAGCCATACAAGTATCAGGAAAAAGAGACACAGCAAGGGCCATGAGGCCGGAGAGTGCCACAATTTTTGGTTTAACTAACATCCTAAAGCTAGAGGATTAAAGCATGAGGTTTTCTTTGGATATAATTTAGGAAAAACTCTGATGATAACAGATACGACCCAATTAGGTCCCCCACAAAAAAAGCAGAAGAAGAAGAAGATAGCACCTAGGGCAAAGTAGGTGGCTCTGAAAGGCAATAAAGCAAACACCTAGAATCCATATCGCCTAAACTGATGGGATGACTACATAAAGAAGCCTTCCAGTTGCTGCACAGTGCTCCGCTGCTTCGGCTGATTTTGATTTTAAAGAGGATTGGAATAGTAGATTCACCTACATGTCGTTTTAACCTCAATGGGAAAAGGAAGCCTAGAATTTTCTTCACATAGTTGTTACCCAGTTTGCAGCTTCCATGAAACTTAATTGAGCGGGCCAATAATCAACTGAAAACACCCAGCACAGCTAAACTTCTAATCAGAAGCTTTTAAGTAGTTTCCATCAAGTTGCGGCATGTCTACCCCACAGCTTACACAGTTTTTTATTTTTATTTTTAACCAAAGTAATTGGGAGATGGGACGATTAGGGGATGATATTACAAGTGTGGGGTGGGCTCCAACTCCACAACCCACGCGCCAATCCTGGAGCAAAGTGGCGAATATTTGTGCCATAGCAGAAACTTCATAGAAGAATTAATGACAAAGGAATTCCTACTTTGAAAAATCAAAAGTCCGCGAATCCTCCCTACGCCTTCCAAAACCTCATGCTCATTGTATAAGGTACACAGCTTCTTCTGCCCGTTCTGATAATTGTATCCTAAATCACACTGAATCTTGGATTCAAAGACTTGAGGGATGGAAAGTTTCTTCAGGATGATTCTTTTGCTTTTTTGCTTTATCTTGATAGTGAGGGTTACAGAGTTCCATGCTGCCAGAGATGAATGCCAACCCACAAAATGCAATCACGTTACCATCCGATTCCCATTCCGACTTAAGGGGCAGCAACAACCGGAACACTGCAGCTATCCTGGATTTGAACTATCCTGCATGGATAAAAAGCAAACTGTGCTAGAGCTGTCGCGAAATGTGAAGTTTTTCGTGAAGCATATAGATTACAGAGCACAGTGGATTCAGTTATACGATCCCCAGGGATGCCTCGCGCGGCAGCTTCCCAATAATTTATCTGCATCTCCCTTCCAGGAGGACAACAGACACACAATCGGCCTTAACATCAATATTCCTCAAGAATACACAATTTTCAATTGTTCTGGCGAAGGACAAATGCCAGATAGAGATGAATAT